TAAAAGAATATAATTAAGAAATTTTTTTTAATTTCAATCAATTTTTTTTAATTTAGTTAATCACTTGATTTGATTGTAGATATACAATATTGTTCTCATGAATGTGACAAAGACATTCACTAATTATTTTTAATTTATTGATTTTTTGAGATTAAATTATTATATTTTTAATCTTTATGGACTAATATTATAAATATTTTATTCTCACTTTAATAAAATGTTAATCAATTCCTTTAGTTTAAAAGCTAAAATCTTCAAATTTTTAAATTTAAAAACTAAAATCTTCCTAATTTAAGATTAAGGATTAAAACTTTCAAATTTATTAAGATAAGAACAAAAATATAAGGTTAAAGGTATACTTTAGCCTTTCTAGTTATCCAATCAAAAGACGTTGCCTTTCGTTTTTGCTTTTTCTCTTCTTTTTCCTTTTTTTTGATTGGGGGTGGGCCAGGAAAATTATGAACAATACCTATTTTTTCAACAAAGATATGAACAACTCTTACATGTCGCTTGGGATATGAGTAAAGTGCATGTAGGCTTTGAAATTTAGTGCTCAATGTCTACATGCTAGACCTTGTAAAATTAGACTCAATTTAAAAAATTTGATCCAAACCATTTGTTAGAAGTTGGATCATGGATTAAAAGTATTAATTCAAAATCTAATATAATTTAAACTAAAATTACTCAATTTCAATTAAATTGAGTCAAAATAAGGTTGCCAAGTCAATCCAAAATGACCAACCTAAAATTAATGAAGACTCTCATAAAAAATCCAAGATTAGAAAAACTTATATTTGTCTTTGTGACTACAACCCCCAATACTTGAATATTTAAAGAAACTACATGAAATAAAATTAGTAGTTGCCAAATAATTTAGAACTAAATTTTATTATAGTAAAAATTCAATGCAAATTTAAAAAGCATACGTAGTCTTAACAAATTCTTTATTATTATTTTTTTTTATCTCAACGTTATCAAAAGTTTTAATATAGTATTTTTGTGAAGTCAAATGTACTATAGTTATGGTTTTTGAAAATTTATAGTTTTCCTTTTATACTTAGATTAAGCCATTTTCATAAGTAAAGTTATATTATTCTTACAATTTTTTAAAATCTATAAATATATTTAAATTATATACACAACTTAATACACCGTAGGTATAAATAGCTATATTCACAAAATTATAAGTATAAGTAAAAAAACAATATAGGTATATGGCAATTTGGACGTAGTGAATCCTTGAGGAAGATAACCGGAAAGCACTGGATGCAGGCAGGCCTATTCTGGTACAGATGTATGAGATTGACACAAATGAAACATATGAGGTCAATTTGGTAAAGAAGCAAGCCTTTCGGTTTGAACCCTTTCCTGATATTGGGCAGAAACCAGAAAAGAGAAAGGGAGAAGAGTTTGCTTATTCTCTTGAACCATTCAAGCATGTTGCAAAGAAAAGAGGTCTCAATTGTGGAATGGAGATTGGTTTTCGCCAGTCTGATGCCAAAACCAGCAACAAACTTGAATTCTCAATTTTGTATGCAGCCAAGTCGCACTTGAGGAGTTGGGAGGTAAGCAGAACATACTAACACAGAAAATGATTAGTTAATACTTGGTTTAATACATTTTTTTACACTCATTTAATTTAGTTATTAAAATATAATATAAATATAATTTAATTTAATCAATTTTTATATTATATATGTATGACTATATTTTTAAATTTATTTATTTTTAATTTTATAAAAAATAATTTTTAATAAATATATTATATAATATATTAAATCAAAACGTATATCAACCGATGTTTTACTAACATACATGCAAAGTTTTCATCTTTTTGACACATAAAATTGTTCAATCATTTGACAATGCCAAATTATGACCTTTTTTTATAGGATGGTGCAGGAAAAGAAAGAACCCAACCCAAACTGTCTGGGTTAAAAAGTGAAAAGAAACTGAGTTTTGCTTATTGGAGGAAGCTGTTGGGTCATGAAAGGTGCTAAAGAGGGAAAAACAAAGTAGTCACTGCCATATTTTGTTTTTGGCCTTTCAAATATTTTCCCTCCCTGTTTAGTACGGGTATGCCCTGCTCTCCGTATGACATATATACCAACCTAGTTTCAAGATGGGAAGAGCATTCGCTTCATAACGGCTAATGGCGGCATGGGGTTCTTGTTGATATTTTGAAATATTGTATTTATTGCTTTTTTTAATGTGATGGGATGGAATATTCTTTACATTTTGGACTTAATAAATTTTGCATTTAAAAAGAAAGGTACAGATATGTCCGGATGAAATGTACAAGAAGATTTTTTTTTTTTTTTACTGTAAAAAACATAATTAGTAAATAAGTATCTATTCAAGTACCGATTAAAGAGTCGACCTAATAATTATGTATTGCACTCCACCTTACTTTTCACTCGAAAAAATATGACCACTTGGGTCACATGGGGGAGTGCTTCTTTCATCTTCCCTTTTTCTTTTTTTTTTTTTTGCAAAGTGTAGGGTGCTTTTCTCTTACCTTTTGTGGGGTGCTAGAATAAATGGGCACATCCATTCAATTAATGTTAAAAAATATAAATTTAGATGTTTTCATTTAGCTGTTTTATTTTTTATTTATCTGAAATATTAAACATTATTGCTTTAACTTTATCTCTCTTACTTTAGTCTATTTATAATGATAAAAAAATTTATTAAGGATAAATGTTTTTTTTTGTACATATAAATGTGTTATTTTAACGTTTCATTATGGAGTTTTAGCTTAAATTTTAACTAATTTTTAAATTGTATAAATTAAATATATAGTTAAAAAAAGTAAGACAATTAAAATAGAATGAAAAGAATAATTAATAAAGGAGGACTAACAAAAGTCTGGTGCTCTTAAGGAAGTGGAGTGGTAGGTAAATTTTTTTTCTAATCATATTTGTTAAAGGATGGTACAAAATTTGAACCAGTTCAATGGATCAAATCGTTCACCATCAAGTTTAAAAGCTTGAGTTCAAGTGATTGAGAGTTCAACTCTCACAAATTACTTATAAACTTATGCTCTCTTTCCAAATTTCTCATGTTAAATTGAAAAGAGGAAAATACAAAATTTAGAAAGAAATTTAAAAAAATTTAGTCATTTCTAAGAGTCAAACTTATAATCTTGATGTTCATAACCTCAATAGCATTTTTTAAAAGAAAAATTAAATAAAATTGGACAATTCTATATGGCCTACACCAATAGCAAGACAAGTAATATGGATTAAATCTTTGGATTTATTTTTGACTCACAAAGAGCTGTATGCCATGAAAATATCCAAAAAAACCTTAAAAAAATGAAAAATATCATTTATGGTTTCAGAATAGCGATGGAGATAACTATGTTATTATTGACCATGATTATCTACTAGTTTAAATACAATAATTGATATAGTTGAGATGTAGTCAAAATAGGGGTGGTTGGTATTTGTGTCGTCAACTCATAGGGTTTGTAGTTTTCTAATTTCTTCCTTGGTAAACTGTGAGAGATTATCTTTTGATTAATCAAAAGTATAGGATGAATTCAAGGTGTTTTTAGAGCTAGTATATGTATATTTTGAGATTAATTGTTTTTAAAATAATTTTCAAAGTGTTTTATGCGATTTTAAGACTATATTTGTACATTAATATGGTACATTTAAGGAATTTAATCCAAAACCACACTTAGAAAACTACAAATTTATCAATTGATCCCACTCTTAGTGTTGAGTTCAGTTCCCATCAACCACATTAGGACTTTAATTGAGCACAATAAAATTTTAGGATCTTAATTATAAATTTGATTTAAGTTTGGGACTTATACACTACTTTACCCTACGTTTAACGCAGTTACAGTTAATTATAAGGATATATATGTAATTCAAAAGTAGAACGCAGTGAATTTGGATTTGTTCATTAAAAAAAATTTGGATTTAAATGAAAAAAATAGATTAACTTATGGGTGTGATTAGTCAAAATTTTGGTTTTTGTAGTGGCCATAAAAAAATAAAATTAAATAAGAAATTAAAAAATAGGAAAGCTCATCGATAACTATATGTTTGATTTTAAAAAAATACAATGAAAAGAAAGAATAATATTATTATTAAACTCTCAATTATTATTATTAATATATTTTTTGTTTTAATTAATTATTATATTTTTTAATTTATATTAAAAATAAATATTATAATTTAAAAAAGAAATTAAAAATATAATAATCGATAACTATATGTTTGATTTTAAAAAAATAGAATGAAAAGAAAGAATAATATTATTATTAAACTCTCAATTATTATTATTATTATATTTTTTGTTTTAATTAATTATTATATTTTTTAATTTATATTAAAAATAAATATTATAATTTAAAAAATAGTATAAAAATATAATAAGTAAGATATTAATTATTTAAATTATAACAATAACTCCACCTATAAAGAAAATAAAAGGGAGGGTAAAAGTTTGTTTATATGATTAATAAAAACTTTGTAGGAGATGAGAGAAAAAAGGTTATTTGTTTTACCTTTTACTTTAATTCTTTCATTTATTTAAATAAAGTTTGCTTCTAAAAAATACGGTAAAAAGTTAAATTAATAAATTTTTTTTTCAAGTAATCGATCAAAATGAAATTTTAATTAATTCAAATACTAAAAACAATAACTAACCACTGCATTCGAAAGTTCCGTACACGAGTCGAAGATGGCCTCGAAAAAATATTAAAAATAAATAGAGGGTTTAAAACGTCGGCTGAAACAGCGTTTTGTCTTTATTCCGATTCTCCGACGGAAGACGCAGACGGACAGACATCCGGATTCCGGAGGTCTGATCGGAGATCCGAGAAAGCAATGGATCAGGAGGTGGTAAACCGGAGCGGTGTTCGCTCTTCACCGGACCCAAACCCATGTCCAATCTGCCTCTCGTCAATGGCTCAAGAGTCTTACCTCGATACATGTTTCCGTACGTCAATTTTGGGATTATTTTTCTATGAAATTTGCATTTATGTTCTTTGGGGTACCAAAATCCAAGCAAAAATTTGAATTTTTTTAATTATGAATATAAACGGATTGTAGATAAATATGGGTTGCATACAATTTGAAGTCTGATGATGTTAAGAGCCCTGGTTTCAAATAAAATCAGAAGTAATTCTAATGCCAGGATTTTCTAGCTAGATGTAGAATTGGGTCTCGTTGCTTCCATATAATAATATTCAACTGTAGAAGATATGGGATTCAGGTTTACTTTATAGGATTGGAAATACTAAGCTAAATTTACAAACTTTGAGCTGTTTTTTTCTGTTTGCCGGAAATTTCACACTGAAAGGTATTTGGCTGAATGTGGGTTCTATGCACCCTTTGCAATGATCACTGTCTAAGTGTCTAATGAAAACAAGCTCTATCTCTTCTGCTTCTTAATTTGATATACATTTTTAGTAGTTTTTACCTGTCCTTTGGATTTCAATTGTATTGTACAACGGAGTGAATGGACTAAAGTTGTTGCTCTCGTGTTGCAGATAAGTTTTGTTACAATTGTATTGTACAATGGACTAAAGTTGTTGCTCTTGTGTTGCAGATAAGTTTTGTTACAATTGTATTGTACAATGGACAAAAGTTGTTGCAGGAAAACATTCTTCCCCGCCTTCCTCTGTGAAATGTCCTCTATGCAAGGTTTATTTCATTGGAATCAGTCTTCTGAGTTTTTTTTTTTTTTTCACACTAAAACAATTCCTTTTAATTGAGGAGTTTGGAAAAAGTCCTAAAATTTGCTTTAGTTGTGTTGTAGGCATGATACTCGATCTGTATCAAATGTAAGATTTGTGCTGATGGTGCTATGACTTGACATATTTGCAGACGGAAAACTTTTCAATCATCAGTGGATATGATGGAAGTTTCTTTGAACGACATTACATAAATAAGATTTTTGGGGACAGGTATTTCAGTTTAAGTTCTTCTCTAGAGTTTTATTTCAGGGTATAAATTTCGTTGTTAATAGTTTAATACTACCTTTTATTTTGTTTCTGCAGTTTAACTTTTAACTTTACAAAAGCACACAAGTATAGATTACAATGCTATTACACTGAACCAGGTTTGGTACCGTTGCTCTTTGGGTCATTTTTACTTTTGCTTTTCTTTTGATTTCTCCTAACAAAATCACTGCTACCTTTTCTGTTAATTATGTTTTCATTCAGGTATTCTAAGTGACCTATTTAACATATCTCGATATTGGAAATTACGGAAATATCTTCAGTCAAACGTCTGGCTTCATTGTTGGTTGAAAAGGGAAATTCAAGCTCTAATGCAGGTTTGTATGTGCATCAGTTGGGTTTCCTTTGGGTTTGCTGCTTCATGCACATTGGAAATGCCACTCTACTCATATTCTCTATTCACTTTCACTCATTTCTGGTAAGTAACTTCCTTTCATGCTTAATCACAGGAAGAAGATGTTGACATTATTGTTCATCACATACAGGGCATGATTGATTCATTCTTCAAAAGGTAGTATTTATTACTAATTTCTCAAATTGCTTCAGCAATTGAATGCCTTATCTTTTGAATTCCTTGACTACACGTTTCAAATGAGTCCTCTGAAGTTTAATTTCTCCCTTAATTATTAATTATCATATCTAAGTTTTACTTAATTCTGCGCTTCCCAGAATTGATCAGATGCATCCAATGAAGAAACCTGAAACAAAACAAGAAGAGTTCAAGGCTTCAGTCTCAGATGCAGCTAGGCCATTTCTGCTGGCAAGAACAGACCGATTTGTGAACGAGTTGGAACTGTTTCTAGCTTCAGGACTGAACATTGAAGCCTATGATGCAGTTTACAAGCAACGCCTGGGTTGGAACACGCCTAGAGGAACCACTGAACCAGTAGAAAGTGAATCTAATGAACAAAGACCTGTAGTTCCATACTTATATATCTTTGATGCAGACTCAGATGAAAATGAATAGAAGCTCTCATTTCTAATCTCACAGAGCATTTTCTTTTGTTTCATCCAGTTAAATGTATCTTGTTATGAGTTTCTCCTGTTTTTGGTTTCCACTAGTGACCAGAAATTAAGAGTGCACAGCTCACATTAGAGATAACTCCCCTGCTTTATGGTTTTGGTGGGTTCCCTAAATTCTTTGGTTCCAATGATGACCAGAGACTATGAGGTCAAAACTCATTTCTTTCTAGTTCTAGAGTCTGTAAAGCCCTTGTCTAGAATGGTGCTGTAAGATGGGGTTATAATATTTCCTTCTTATGGATTCAAGTTCTCTTGATATGCAACAATCTATCACAGGGATTCCAAGGGAAGATCAGACCAGCTTTCCTTTTCTTCTTCTTTGGTAATGGTAGCAGCGGCTATTCTGTTCTCCATTGGAGGAAGGAAAATGATGGTATTGGCATATGATAAACGCAGTATGAAATTGACATTAAATGTTGTCCTGTGATGCTTCTTACAAATGTATTTTCTTGTCTTTCACCACAAGAAGATTTTCTTGTATTTTGTATTCTGTGAGATCCTGAATTAATTGAATTTGTTTTTCTTTTTAAGGAAATAAATGAATCAAGAGCCATGAAATTGTTAATGAAGCAAGTGAAATATTTATAGTGTAAAGAGCTATATGGAACACCCCGTTTGTAGAATTTAGCTTGGTTGGTGTATAAAATTATTTCAATTGTTTTATTTTTCTTCAATATCTCAGTTTTAATATAATTATTATTACATTAATAATAATATATTTATCGAATAAAAAATTATTATAGTAACAATACTTGACTTGCATTTATTTAAAACCGTATGGTAACTTACTGTAAGTACTTTTCTGATTTTCGCAATATTTATGAAATTAATGTGAAAAAGAATCGACCGGCAATAAAATATGAAATGTCATGCTAATTCCATAGCCAACACCATAGTTTGATTCTTAAAATTGGATAATTTCTCGTCACTTTCTTACTACAAGTATCAATTGTATTTAATTTTTTTATCATGAATAAGAACTAACATTTCTCTCTTTCTTTTTTCTTTTTTTTTTTTCTTATAGAAAAGTATGATTGTATAAAAAAGATTAAAACAAATATAGTTGAACTTATATTCTTAACATACATGTTAAATAAAAAGCTATATACACTAAAAAGGTCTTATATATATAGCACTAATACAAAGAGATAATGTTTATATCATGCATGAATAATCAAATACAAAGAGTGTTGAGATACTCATAATCATCACAAGATATCAATAGAACAATGTAAACACATAAAAAGCTAACCCTCAAGTTTTTTTGTGGCCTCTAACAACAACACATATCGAATCATTCTTTTCTAATATGCAATTGGGATTTTTAGGCAAAAGATTAGTAAAGGACATAACTCCTGATTATGTTGTTAACAGTTGAAAAAGGTATTGCAATTTAATTGAACCCATTTAATTTCAAATCTATATTATTTTTAATTTTTATTGTAGACAAAATTTGATGAGATATATTAACAAATTAAAATAAAAAGTCCCAAAAAAAGGTTAGAAAACCAACAAATCAATATTAAAAAAAAAATTTTGACCAAAGGACCCTCTTTTTTTATCTTATTTTTCGTCATTTTAAACATTTTGTTTTTTTATCTCCTAAACATAATGTTTTTATTTCTTATGTTATGTCTTTTTAAACACTTTATATTTTAAAAATAAGAAAATCACTTTCATTTCTTTCAAGTTACATTATAGGAGTGTGGCTATGGAAATAGAGAAATTAATATCTCTTTAAATAATTTTAAAGACATTTCTTTGAAAACATATTTCTTTTAAGTCACTTTTTGATGACCTATTATACACTAAATGAGTTAAGAAAACCCCACATCTAGGGAATTCTTTCACATCAATAACTAATTTTGTAATCTTCTGAATCGAAAAAAAAAAAAGAAAAAAAAACAGATTTATTATTTTATTATTAATTAGATAAAAATGGAGATGGTAGGTGTGGCATGTTTAGCATGTTGGATTTTGGGGCCCGAATTGCACTTTAAACGATTTTCTTTCAGAGCTGGATAGATTTGAATTCATATTGCATGGGCCTTTGACTTACTAATGTCATCAGCAATGGCCCACATGAGATGAGACCCACTAGCGTTTCACAAATCAATCGCGTCTCGGTAGCTTGAGTACACGGCCCAATCAAATACAACCTCTTCGGAAAAATCATTTTTATATGTATTTTTTATGTGTGTTTGGAAAACAAAACAAATTTTAAGGTACGGATAGATCACAGTGCGTTTAGTATAATTTTAAAATAAAATAAAATAATTTAGTGTTTAATAATTTTCAATTTTAGTTATGAATTTTGAAAATTTGTATCCTAGGTAATTAATTTTGGTTATCAAATGTCAATATTAATTTCGGCCGAAAAAGCATGTCAATATTAATTATTTAAATTTTAACCCTTAAAATCAACATTAAAAACATTTACATTATTAATCCAAGAGTTGAATTTATTAATAAATAAATATTATCTTATAAATCAAATTAAAATAAAAATTTTGAGGTTAATACTCAAAAAATTATTTTTTTTAAATAGATCATGTTGATATAGAAATATGTCTTTAAAATCATTTAAAAATATTAGTATCAAAATTATTAAAAACTAACTAGAGATGCCCTGACATTGAACAAAAGAAAAAATATCTATATTGCTAAGTGGATGCTAAAACTTTTTAGTATGGATGATAAGTTCATTATGTAAAGGTGTTTGGCAGAGCTTTTTTAAGTTGGAACTTTTTCTCTAAGATTTAGTTTAACAATGCTATTCGATACTACATTGTAACTATAGTTATTAAAAGTGTTATGTTGTATTATTATAAAAAGTGTTATGTTGTATTACTATAAAAAGTATTTTAGTCTTCAGATAATTATATTTTAAAAAAATTACAATTACTCAATTAAATATATTATTATTTATAATTAAATTAATTAATAATGTATAGAAAAGGATTTGAAAATTTTATTAAATTATTTTTTATTAATTTTAAATAAGATGATTTTTGTTTTCCTTTTAAAAAAGTAGGGATGGATAATTTACTCAATATATACATAAGTTACAAAAGGTTTTGTAAATATATACAAAAAAAATATTATAAGCGATATTGCCAAACTAAACCTAAGTTTAAATTTTTTCTTTTGACGAAAATGTTACTATTAGCATTTAAAAAAAATTTTGGGTAAATTTTTTTTATAAAAACAAGCAACACTTATCTTTTTTCCAAAAGAAAAGTGACACTTTTTTAAAAAAAATTGAAAAGTGACACTTTTTTTTTAAAGTAGTTTACAACATGAGACAAAGGGTTTTTATTCCCAATCCTAAGGTTGAGAAATGCATATTATTATGAAATATAAAATCATCAGGCCACGGGACCCAAATACAAAAGTGTTACTCACTTTTAAAAATTGACTTATAATTAATTTTAATATTTTTATGAGCTTGTAATTTTATAATCTATACCTTATGCCACACAAATGGAAAAGTTCTAAGTTAATTTTGTATAATACAACACAATTCAAATTTTACAAAACATTTTTGTTTTTTTAATTTTCCTTCAAGTTTTTAATGTTAAAAATATTGTTTACCTCTAATATTTTTTAAGTTTGTGAGGAACAAAATGCTTATAATAAATTTTACTAAAAATTAGCTTCTCCAAACAAAACCCATGCTCTGGCTGTCAGATATTTAATTTTTTAAAAAGGGCTTTTTTATCATTTATAATATTGTAAGAAAATATTATTATTATTATTTAATAATTAATCATCATAAAAATACAAAATTTATTCTCAAATTTACTATCAATAATATCACTTGTCAAATTATTACTATTAATTCTTAGACAGAATCCAAATCAACCTTATTTATTTTGACAATCATTAATTAAAAATAAAATTATTACAATTTACACAATAAACATTCTCTTATCATTTGCATTTAGTAGAAGTAGTGCCCTATATTTTTTGAAAAGAATTTTCTAGAATTAGAAAATAAAATTTAAAATATATACATTTAATTTAACAACTGCAAAATTAAAACCTTCCTAAATTGCCGTGCCTTAAATTTCTACGCGCCACTAGAATGCGTGGGCGAAATTGGATATTGAGAGGAAGTGACGACAACGAATCCAAGAATTTGTGATGTTTGTTTTTCTCCGCCAACTGCAGTTGCTGACCCAATTTGGATTCCATATTTCACACTGCATTTCATTGACGAATCAATAAATTGTTTCGCAGGGAAGACCCATTTGAAATCGATCAGTGGCACTTCACCGAACTGATTATGGAGGTGAAAGCAAGAGCTCCTGGCAAAATCATACTTTCCGGCGAGCACGCGGTGGTTCATGGCTCAACTGCGGTTGCAGCCTCCATTGATCTCTTCACCCATGTCTGCCTTCGTTTCCCCTCTCAGACTGGTAAACTTTGGGATCTTTCTTTCGTTTATCTTTTTTTGTCTTTCCAGGGCAGAAATGGGTTCTCTTTGGTGTTTGTTGATTTGTTCTAATGATTCTGAGGGACTTTTTCTTGATAATGGGTTGTTTGGGGACCCTTTTGAGATACTCGTATATTCGTTCAGTTTTGTCAAGGTTTTACTTTTCTTGTTTTAAAAAGGGAAAGGTTTTCTTTCTATCTTTAAGATTGGATTGCTTTAGATTTGCTTAAACTGATGATATGAAGATACCCATTTGAAATTTCTGGATTGGGGTATATTGTGTTTGTTTGATCCTTTTTTGTTTTTCTGATTGGAATAGATGATTAGGAAGGAGCGTTAACATATTGATTGTTTGAGCCCTAATTGTATCAATTTATTTGCATAAAGGAAGCCTCTGCATTTGGACTCAATTCTTTGTTTAAAATTTTGTTACAAACCTTGCATTCTCCTTTCGTTTCTATTATTGTTCATTTATTTGGAAGAATTTGGGGTATAACAAGCATGACTATTGGTTTTAATTTCTGTGACAATGATGTTTTAATTTTTATGCTCCTTACGGAATTTTGACAATTTTATAGGTAAAGGTTTCCTTTGTCAGCTGATGATTAAATGTTATGACTTATATAATACTCAAACTGCGACGGGATTAATTGCTTTACTTTGTCCTTTTTTCTTCTGTTATTGATATTGTTCAGTTCAGGGGTGATGCAGTAGCTGTTTATTGGACTTCAGTTGATAGTTTTCTACTCCTTTTTTTATTTCACAGAGAATGTGGATGCACTAAAACTTCATCTCAAAGATGTTGGATTAGAATTTTCATGGTCAATTGAAAGACTCAAAGAAGCTCTATCTCAAGTCTGTTGTCCTTTCTCTTCAGTACCCTCCTCGTGCACAACAGAATCCTTGAAATCTCTCTCATCACTTGTTGATGAGCAGAGTTTTCCCGAGGCAAAAATTGGAATTGCATCTGGAGCTTATGCATTTCTTTGGTTATACACCTCCATCTTAGGGTATATATCTTGTATTTGTGTTTTTATTAATTATATCTACTTGATAGTTTTTAGTCATGATTTAGATTCCCTTATGCATCAGGTTTAAGCCAGCCACTGTGGTTGTAACATCTGATCTCCCACTGGGTGCTGGCTTGGGTTCCTCTGCTGCATTCTGTGTTGCTCTCTCAGCTGCTTTCCTCTCTCTTTCAAATTCTGTAAGTTTGGATGTCAGCCAGAAAGGGTGGTTAACATATAAGGAGAGTGAGCTTGAACTGTTGAATAAATGGGCTTTTGAAGGTGAGAAGATAATTCATGGAAAGCCATCTGGAATCGACAACACAGTCAGCACATATGGTGTGTAACTTGGCTGATACTTGGAAGGTTTTTTATTTGAAACCAATATTTTATCTTTATTCAGTGCATCCTTGCTTCATTCTGCCATAGTGGCTAGGTCAACTTATCCAGAGCTTGGAATTAAACTGGAGTTTTAGGAATCTATATTGCATGACTTGGAATGGTTGCATACCAGTTCTAATCTGACCTCATGAGCCATGAGTCTAAAGATTTTCTTATAGAATAAAGACTCTTGTGCAGGAAATGCATTTTATATATTTTTTTAAATTGCCTCTCTACTCCCTGAGATGAACTAGCATTCACCCTCTAATATAGTGGAAGAAAACAAATGTGTCTTGAGAAGAAGTGATTCTGCTGATGCATTATTTAAGAATTCTGAGTTATTAGGGATGTTTGCGGTTAAATAGGATGCTCTGATCTCACATCAACATTTGTTAGTATTTGCACCTAAATATAATAATATAAAAGAGTAAATGCATGATATACTTTATAAAAATTCAAGGAACTTCTAAACTTTTGCAGTTCAGCCCATAGATGCATTAAATGGTGAAGTTTATGAGCATTCTCCTGCTCATATACATGCAATTTTAATTTAGCATGCTATATTATTTTTAGTTATTACATGCTACAGTTTTTACCCATAGTGGCAAGACAGCAATGTTTTCAGATATCTTGTAATTAACAATCTTCTTTCATCAGGCAACATGATCCAATTCAAATCAGGTAGTCTTACACGGATCAAGACTACTATGCCATTGAAGATGCTCATTACCAACACCAAAGTTGGGAGGAACACAAAGGCATTGGTTGCTGGTGTTTCAGAGAGGACCTTAAGGCACCCTGATCCCATGACTTCTGTGTTTAATGCTGTTGACTCAATCAGCAAGGAACTGTCCACCGTTATACAGTCACCAGCATCTGATAACATATCCCTAACAGAGAAGGAAGAGAAGCTAGGAGAGTTAATGGAAATGAATCAAGGTTTGCTCCAATGCATGGGTGTCAGCCATGCTTCCATAGAAACTGTCCTTCGGACAACATTGAAATATAAGTTAGCTTCCAAGTTGACAGGAGCTGGTGGTGGAGGCTGCGTGCTAACTCTGTTGCCAACTTGTATCCTCTTTGTTCTCCCCTTTAATCTGTTTATTTTTGCATGTCTCTTTCAGTCTCCTCTCTTTTCTTCCTAATACTTAACCTCTACCATATAATGACTGACATCACATCATGTTTATGCATAAACTTCATCATAATTCATATGCATTAGTATCTATCTCCTCTGTTTTGTATTATCATCTGTTTCCATGACTATTCTGAATCAGTGCTATCAGCAACAGTTGTAGCCAAAGTAGTCAAAGAGCTAGAGTCATCTGGGTTCCAATGTTTTACTGCCACAATTGGTGGCGAAGGAGTTCAGATTTGCTTTGATGGGTCTTCATGATTTCCCCAGAATGCCTCCAGTTTCAGCAAGGTCTAATCTTATCTTTTGATTTTGAATAACAACGCCAAGCTATAATATTATAGCCATTTCATTTCACTATTGTTGTCTCTACAGTAACCTGATGTATTTTCCTTCCTTTTTCTTCATTTTAATCCGAGTTTGCTTCAATTGTTTCCGGAATACTAAGCTTCCCTTTTCGCTTAGGCAACAGGAATGTTGAACGGCAAAACTCTACATTGATGTCATTATAACAATTATTTCATCAATGTCTTCTTTAAGTACCAAGTGAATCTTTAGTGCTGCTCTGCATTAACATATTTTATATGTTGTTGCTGCAATGTCCATAAAATTCCTCATGGACAAACAAATATATAAATATTTTCAGAAACCTGGCAAGCATGGCGCGACCATATATATAAAGATTTAATTTCGATATTTTTTTTCATTTTACTATATGAAAATATGTAAAACATTAATTAATATAAATATTAAATTTATTTTATATATTTTAGCGATATTAAAAGACTAAAAAAAACTTATAACTGGTTCAGCATTGTCAAATAAAATGAAAAATTAAAAAATTTATAACTACAATTACAGTTTAATGCTCTTAAATGAAGCTGTATATAGTTGTCCCGAGTCATTGGTCTCATTTCATTTCAATATCAAAGAATCACATGCATATAAAGACTAACAGAAGGATGGAGATTCAAGCAACACAGTTACATATATAAACGCCTTTAAATTTTCATAGTTTCATTATATTTTTTTCTTTTCAGAGATAACATGTCTAGAACTTGTTACACTCTCTGCTTTCACAAACGCAAAAGCTCTGCATTCGGACCGTACATAGAGTAATGCAAGAGATTCACACACAAAACAAAGGGAATTATTTATAACAAAGAAAGACACCAAAAACAAAAACCAGATTGGCTAAAATCGCTTCAGGCATTCACTATTACACCACCTGCGACCATGAAAAATTCAAGAAAGATCAGAACTTCGACACCTAAAGGAACTGTGATTGATTTTATAAGAACATGTCTGGAAGGAACTCAAGGGCTTACCATTTGGATGGAGGACCTGGCCAGTGATGTAGGAGGAGCAGTGGTTGCAGGCGAGGAACACGTAGGAAGGTGCAACCTCAATAGGCTGGCCAGCTCGTTTCATAGGGACTTCAGACCCAAACTGAGCAATCTCCTTTTCTTTGAAGGATGACGGAATCAATGGAGTCCATATGGGTCCAGGAGCAACGCCATTGACGCGTATACCTCTGTTCACAAGCTGCAGAGCTAGTCCTCTGGTAAAAGCCACAATGGCACCCTTTGTTGCTGTGTAGTCAAGAAGCTTGGCATTTCCCTTGTACGCATTAATCGAAGTTGTATTGATTATAGCACTCCCTTCCTTCATATGCTTCAATGAGTGCCTAAATTAACATCACCATAATCGTCAGAAAATTAAAATCGATGAATTTTGAATTCCAATGATTGAAGAAAATTTTGAACGTTTTACCTGGACATGAAGAAGAAAGAGTAGACGTTAGTCTTAAACACCCTCTCAAGCCTGCATTCATCAATCTCCTCCAGACTATTGCCCTCATACTGCTCGGCACAGTTATTGACCAGCATATCGATCCGACCATAGGCATTAACTACTTCATCGATGACCTTTTTGCTGTTCTGATCGTACCCCAAATCAGCCGGAATTGCTAGCTATCGGATCCTTTGCATTAGAGGTTTTGGCCCCCTTCAGCATTGTCAGAGTGTCATGTGCATCCTTGTCCTCTTGGGACTTGACATACGTGAATGCCACGGTGGCTCCTTCCAGGACAAAGCAGTGGCAGACTGCTCTGCCGATGCCGCAATCTCCTCCGGTGACCAGTGCCACCTTCCCCTGCAAAAGGGAAGAAAGAAGATCAAAATTATACCACAAAATTAAAGATTTTGAAGCAGGGAAATTCGGCTCAGGATAGAAATTGAGAAACTATACATGAAGCTTATTAGAAGGCTTGTAATCGGAGCTGCTGAACTGAGGGATAGGATTCATGGCATGCTCTTTTCCAGGTTGAGTGTCCTGCTTCTGAGGAGGAAACTGCTGTCCGTCGGACGCCATTGCTCTGATCTCCAAAACCCTGAAAGATTTCTGTCTCACCGGATAATTATTCCTTCAGGAAAATCTGAGTTGGGGGTTTTGTTTGGACACCAAGAAAATGAACAGGCTAAGTTTGTTGATGAAGAAAACTGATAATTTATAGGGGTTTTCCAGGTGGACACGTGGTGTGACGTGGCAGATGAGTTGCTTACGTGTCATTCTGTCGCATGCATTGGGCCCGCGGTGGAAACGGACGATTTTGCCTTTTGAGTAGTTAAGATGTGGACCCACGTGAAGTGGGTCGCAGTCACAGACTGGTTCAGCTTCTGAGGGGTTCTACCCAGTACCAACTACCAAGTTCCAAGATCGTTGAGAAAGCACTGTTCTGAATCAGACGAACTTCACACGTCACGGTCCTCAGGTGCCTTTTTTCAATGAACTTTTGTCTCAATTCAGCCATTCAAAATACTTTTTTGTGCTGCTTAGGATTTCAATCGGGTTGTCTTGTAGAATGACGTGTGAAATACCAAATTATTAAGAGCAGTGCTAGGGGCACTCGCCTCCTGCACTCTCCGGCTAGCACTCCCTCTCTCATTGGGCCACGTAAGGTTGTTTAAGATCTGAAGTGTAACCTCTCGCGACCAAATATAACGTGGCCCAATGAAAGGAGGAGTGTTGGCCGGAGAGTGCAGAAGGCGAGTGCCCCTAGCACTTCTTAATTATTACATAGAGATATGTAAACAGAAAGCTATATTATAGAACAGATTATATATAACTTATCTCATAAAATTTATTAAATGTATTTAATTTTGTTTTTATATTATTTTTAAAAAATTATTTAAAGAATTTTATAAAGTGAAATACATATAATTCACTCTATAAAACAGTTTCTTAATATATAAAAAATGTAATTGAGCCTTATTAATTAAATAGTTGGTGTTTTGTAATTTAATATAATTTAAATTATAAAATAAAAATAATATAATTATGATATCAAATAATATTGTAATCTTATAATATAATATTTTATTATATAATTGTTTTTTATTTAAAATTTTATTTATAATATTATATATTTATTTAATAATACATTATTTTAAATAGATTTGAGTAAATTTCAAAGGTTGAAAATGTATGTATTTTGTTTTGAATAAATTACAATTTGAAAAAAAAGATATTCGAATCTTAACTTAAGATTCAAGATATATTTTACGATGAGAAATAGAACTATCAAGCCACAAAACTCGAGTAAGAAAAATGTATATTTTGTTTTTCTTTGGTGTAGGAAAAATGTACGTTTTGTTTTTTAGTCGGTCAGATTACTTTAAGTTTCATGCTTATTGAGACTTATCCTTTTTAATCTATTATATATTTCAATTTCAAAATTTTCATAGTATGTTGGCACTATAATTTGAAGTTAGTCTTAGTAACCGAAAATTCGATGTTAGACCTAATCTTTCTCATCCCACAAAATTCAAACACTAAAACCATCTGCATGTTTGCCAGGTGTAACCTCCAGGAACTAACACATGTCCGAAAACGACCCCAAATTCTATCTTGGTAACGAACTCCTGAATTGGCA